ACGGAAGCGCCAGCCAATGAAATCATATGCCAGTACGAGCTCTAGCCAATCAAACCGCGTGCTTGTGTGTCCGGGGCGGGAGATTCATGTGATTGTTGTTGGTTGCACGCCAGACACGCCCACCGGCAAGCTTCAACATGACATCTCGTTGGAAAATCTATCTTGATACGGGAAAAACATGTGGTTCTATGCCGTGTCATTTTCATATCCTGTTAGAAATGATTCATAACCTGTGTCATTAAGAAAAAGGCCCTTTATAGAAAAGAGTTCAAAGTCTAAATAAGATGGAAAATCAGTTAACAATAAAAAGTCTTGGTTTGTTTTACCTTTGTTTGGTTTTTAATTCTTTCTGCCCGGAGAATATAAGGAGTATTTTTGATGCATGTATTCTTTCACCTAAAAAATAACTTTTTCATAAGATGATGATTTCACCTGTAAACTGAAATAAACAGATTTGTTCACATTTATTTTTGTCTTTTGTCTATGTTGTTTTATCAGAGGAATAATGTTTTTCAGATGAAAGGATTCCTGTTTTCTCAGAATCTCAACTTTTTTCAGAAATATGACTTCTTTCAATTTTTCTGACTTATCTCAGAATTTTTTGGTTTTTTTTCAAATTGTTGACCATTTTTTCTCAGAATCTGGACTTTTTCCCTTTCTTGACTTTTCTCAGAATTCAGACTGTTTCTCATAAGTTTGAATTTTTTCTCATTATTTTTGACTTTTTCAATTTCTTGACTTTTCTTACAATTCTGACTTTTTTCCAGATTTCTTTTGTCAGAATTCAGAATTGTCCCTTTCTTAGCATTCAGACTTGTCAGAACTTTTTTTCCCTCTTGTATCACAAAGATTTATTACAAAATATAAGTTTTCTTTTTAATTTACTTCAGGTTTTGTTAAAGAAATACTTTTGCATTAGGGGAACATCACCACTCAACTTTGTGACAGAGCCTGTTTCCAGTCTTTATGCTAAGCTAAGCTAATCCGCTGCTTAAAGTAGCTTCACATAAAGCAGCACAAAGAATATATATTCAATTCATCTACAAGTAAAACTATATTTAACTTAAGTCAGAAAACTTCTGCACAGTGACACAATGGACTTAAGATATTTATTTAGTTTTGACCAAAATGCCAATCTGAGTAATGTAAGGGTGTCATCCTGCTTCCCTCTGATTGGTCAATGTGTCAGCAGGAAGCTGAGGTCACTTCCTGGGTCGTAATCCACCGTAGGCTTTCCCCTAAAACACAAACGCATCATGATAATTATTACTGATGTACTTTCAGCTGAAGGAAATACACAGAAACTGCAGTAAAAATATTCATAACAATGTGAAAATACTCCTTAAAGTCCTGCTTTTGAATTTACAGTTTTGTTTTTTTTTCGGAATTTTTCCTCAATGTTGAATTTCTTCTCAAAATGTTCCTCAGAATTTTGACTTTTTTCCTCAGAATTAGATTTTATTCTTCACATTTTGGTTTTTCCATTTGTGTTACCTGGTGAAGAGTCGAGCCCTGGTGGTTCCCAGCAGCGTGGCTTTGTTTCCCTCCACCAGCAGCAGAGACCCCTCCCTCAGACCCTGGCAAGGCAAAACATCTCTGTAAATCCTCAAATAAAAACTCATTCAAATAATATATTTCACCTTCTTGGCCGGCGAACAGTGAGTGCGGCCGACTGACAGTAAATAACATTAAATATATTGTGCACTAATGGCTGATATGGTACATTTCCAAAAGCTCTAGTTCTGTCCTTACACCAATTTTGTATTAACTTCATATTAACCTTTCGCATTTGATAGTTTTCACAGATTTACAATCAGAATCCTTATTTTTTAAATAATTGGAAAATCTGATTTTTATTTCAAATCTACGGAAGAGGATTAGGGACACATATAACATTGGGAATTTTCCTCAATCTTTTATTTTTTTCTTAGAATTCAGACTTTTTTCTTGAGAATATTAAATATGTCAGAATTTTTTATATTTTTCTAATAATTCTGACTTTTTCCCTCTGAATCTCTGATTTTTGACTTTTTTCTCTGATTCCTGAGATTAACCTCAGAACTCAAAAAACGTTTGGTCAGATGTTTAAAATGTCCACAT